AGAGAGAGAGAGAGAGAGAGAGAGAGAGAGAGAGAGAGAGAGAGATGAGGATGATGGTGTGACGGCACGTAGCTGGTCTTGGCGATGGTCTACGTGGTCGACATCTTCATGTACTCCGGTTGTTGCTGCTGACGTCAACAGGTAGTTGCTGTGTGATCGTAGTCTGGGCGCTGAGCGCCAAGGAAGAAGGGCTCTGGATACATATGTTGGTGGTGGCGAGAGTATGCTCTCATTGACATTCGGATTCGGTGCTTCAGTTCTCTGTTGGTGGAATATCAATGCATTTCTGCTTTCCGGACAGTTTTGGACTTTCTGGCTTTCAATGTGATTTTGCACTCTGGAATTCTGTCATTTCGCTATCGCTCATTTCCTTGCATTTATCGTGTTTTTTTGTTCTTTTTTTAAGGATTTAACCTCCTCCAACGTCTTTCAGGGCTGGTGAAATTCTTTCTTAAGATTTCAGTTTGCACAACTTTGCAGTTTGCAGTGTCATTCATTTGCAAACTTGCAAAGTCTTTATGACTGTTCTTTTTTTGTTGTTTTTTATTCAGGTTTGAATTCACGACCTCCAGATTATGAAACTCTGTTGGAGGAAAGTAAATATCTCTGTGTGCCTGCCCATTGAAATTCGTTCTTACGATTTGACTGTCCGGCAGTGTTGCACCCCGACTGTCAGCGACCCTTGACTGGTCGGCTGCCGACCCACTGACCGGTCCGCTGGTCGGCACCTACTGGTCGGGGGTCGTCGGCACCCCGCAAAAAAAAAGCAAAAAAAAAATCTTTTCTTGGGGGTCCAGAACCCCTTATAACCCCACGAACACCCCCATACCAACCCCAAATACCCCCCTACAACCCCCGAACACCCACAAACCGCCCCCCAACACCCTCATACCCCCCCCCCAGTACCCTCTATACCACCCCTATACACCCCTCCCCCAAACCCCCCATCCCCAAAACATTCTCAGCGGATTTGGGCTGTACTCAGCAAGCGCAGTACAGCTTCCAACTCAGATCTGAAAAACAATTAGTGGATGGTTGTTTTCTGACTGGTCGGCAGACCGCCGACCGGTCGGCCATACTGGTCGTCTGCAATACGGTCGGCGGTCGGGGTCGGCGGTCGGCAGGGATGCAACCATGCTGTCCGGTGGATTTTTTTTGTGACTATCAGAAGTAAGACTCTTTCTCTCTCTCTCTGCCTGTTCAATCAGCAAGCAGCGCGCAGTGCAGCTGTTTTGGTACACAAGGAAAAGATGGCAAATCGCAAGGAAAAGAGCCAAAAGACTCCTTCTAAATCTATTTACTCTGTCCAAGTGGCTGAACGTTACACCTATGTAATAACAGTTAATGGACAGATCATGAGTTTGAGTCCAGATGGAATCAGGTGATCCACTTAATGTTAGGTTCGACCCCCTTCAAATTGAAAAAGGAAACGAAATATACTCTGTCAGAGTCTCTCTCTCTCTCTCTCTCTCTCTCTCTCTCTCTCTCTCTCTCTCTC